AAATTCCAATAGTCAGCATGATTGTAAGCCAGTTTTTACAGGTTTACTTATTTGCAGTCATATTGATACTGCCATGGCTAGCTCGGATAACCACTGCCTTCTGCTGACTGAGGTTGCTAGATTAGTGGGAATTAAGGCATCTGATTGATCCTTACATCATATTTTCTGAAGTCAGGGCTACAACCGGCATGTGGCATAGGTCAAGCCATTTTTGACCATAAAGTCCAAAGAAAACAGGCTCAATTGGGCAATGGATTTCCATGATTGGGATGTAAACGATTTTGGTGACATGATCTTTTCAGACAAGGCAGCCTTCAATTGTGGGGAATTATTGGGTGCTGTACAGATCACTTGTAAGGCAGGTGAAGAGTATGATAAAGATTGCCTTGTACCTAAGTTCAAAAAACTTACAACCATTGTTGTTTAGGGTATGATCTGTGGTAGTCAAAAGCTGGAGCTCATCATTTGGGAAATGGATAACTAGGGTAAAATTTCCTCTCAAACATATCTTGAATGCATTATCCATCCTGTTCTTGTACCATGGTAGCTACAACTTTGTCAGCAAGGTAGTCACTTGGAATACGTCTATTTCCATCAAGATGGTGCTGCAGCTTACCGAGCTAAAAATACCATCAATAAACTCAATCAAATTGGTATAGGCTCATATCTTTTCCCCTGGCCAGCCAGCTTACAAGACATGTCCTCCATCGAAGAAGTGTGCAAGAAGATAAAGCACAATATCAGTAAGCATAACCCCTGACCCATCAACTTTCCAGAACTCAAACAGGCCATCAATGAGGAATGGGACAACCTTGATCCAAAAACAATTACCAACCTTACGTCCTCAATGCCTGAGCAGATTCATGATCTTATTGCTGTCTGCGGTGGTCATCCCAAGTGGTAATCATAGTTTTCACCTGTTTTCACCTTTCTTTCCTTCTTTCTTTCCTTTCTTACAGCTTCTTTTGTTTTTCTTTTTTCTTTTAACCAATCTCTCTCTGGATTCATAATGCAAAACTAGGTGGACTCAGTGGCAAAATTGACTTAGGGGGAAGGAATCCAGGTGCAGGGAAGGAATTTGGGTTATCTGCAATTTCGTACTTTTAAGTTTCAAGTCTTTTTGTTATTATAATGAGAAATGTAATGGCTGGCTTTTATGATGATCAAGATGTAACAACTCCAGGTTTTTGCCTTTCCAGACTCCCCTGCTTTTTCCAATAGGTTATCTTCATGATTCCCGAGATTCCTTGTTCATATCCCGGCATTGCTCGATTTTTACTTCCATGCCCGAGTACTCGTAGTCTACGATGAAACGGCGAGTAAGCCGAGGAGACGTCTGAGGCAGCAGGTGCAACCCTGGTGCCGCATTCGCTCGGATAATCCACGGCCGAAATCTCTGTCAGGCCTCCAATCTTGGCGTAGGGAAGGAATACTCGTACTTTGCCATTCATAAAGTATTCGGACACCACGGCATTATTAGTCCCTGTTTTGGCGCCAAGCGCCCGAACACTTTATCAATAGCCGAGTAGTAGGGGTTACCCAAGCATTATGCTTTGAGAGAGCGGGTGTTCCTAATTCGGACAATGTGCCGAGCTAAGCCTATCGTAGCCCAGCCACGTTGCTCGCCCGAGTACGAGTAAATAGAGTTTCAATCCGGGCCCCAAGTTATGGGAAAAAGTCCAACACATCGGTGAGCGGAGGGGTGTCCGGGGAAAGTTGAATCCCCGGATAACACTCTATTGTACTATACACATCAGTACCGTTGGTACTAGAAATGGCATCACTGAAGTTCAGAAAACCACCAAGCTATCATAGTAATCTCTTATCTGTAGCGTCCTCTCCACCATCCTCTGCAAGCTCTGGCGGAAGGACTCAATGCCTCAACAATAAACGACCTGAACCATTGTGAACAATGCCCCCAAAGCGAGACAACCTCCCGGAGAGAGAGGGGATCTTTTCACTACCGATCATAGGCCAAATAGCCGGCAAAGGGCCAACAACCAATTCCAAGTACAGTATATCAGGCAAGGAGTAAAGCATATCAACAAATGATAATCCGGTGAAAGTATTCCGCCTATAAACTATAGCTCAAGACCTCAGGATAATCTAGTCATTTCAAGCACAGTGGACAGAAATGATTTCCCCCTACAGGTTAGCCCTGGGTCTCCGCATAGCAAGGTCCTCATTCTCCCATCACCTCCCCCCCAAACGTCTTCCTCCCCTCCCCAGAATATTTGCAAGCCAAGACACCGAAAATGTTCTTCTGATAATTACTATCACACTCATGGCAAGCGCATGGGCGAACACTAACCTGCCGGAAATTATAGGTGTTTGATTGCCGCAAGCCCCAGCAAACTCTGAACCATCAACATCACTCAGCATCGCACTTCAAACCTCCACATTTGGTCGTGGGTGACGAAGGCGGTGGTTTACTAATCACGAAAAGAGAGCCTAGAGGAGAGGCTTTCATGTTCTGCTCGTAGGGTGATATATCCTATAAGAAAACTTTGACTCCAATAGTGTCCTCGATCGAACTCAGGAGATTGAGATAGTGTAAAATAGAACAGTCGCCCCTAGATACCGTTTTTGGCCGACAGACCCTTGACTGGACTAATACTATACCACCTTTCATGCCTAGAAAGATTCCACCTCCCCCGAAGCGTGTGCTTATAAAGGTCCACAGTCCCCAACACTCTCAACATGTTCCCCACATTACCAACCCCCACGCCTAGAGCATCTACCTTACGAGAAAGAACTTTTCTCCAATAATCCCACCCCCTCTCAGACCAAAAAGCCTATTCTCATCCCCCAAGCAACCCTTTCCCATACCCCAGCCACACAATAATACTTAGTAGCAACGCCACGAGAGTTGAAGTCTAAGCTGCCATTGTCAGCTACCGCCGGGAATTTTCGTCCCTGGCGTGCAATAAGACCTGCAAAACTCCAGGGCACTGCTTCCCCCCCAACTGCCTTTGGGTAGCATCCCACCCAAGCTCAATCCCCCCGCTACCCTGCGCCAAGCGGATTCCGTCATGCTACCTCCCCAATTGGGCTTTTTTTTTTTTGCGGCCAGGAAGCAATGGGGGAAAATATGAGAAATCCGGATGACGACACTGTGCCTCGCGCCATCACTCACCATGGTGGCTTACTCACACCATAAGTATTCGATGATAAGTTAGTTTTCATGCTCACAAACACCTCCGCTTTTAGTTGCAATCGTATAGAAGTAAAAACATGGGTTCAAAAAAGGTTTCTCTTCACGAAATCCCTTCGGAAAGGAAATACCTGCCCCCACTCAGCACCATGCACCCGACCGCCCTCGGGTACTACCAGCTACAATATTATCCCGTGCTTCCAACCATTACCCCACCATCTGGAAAAGATAAATTTGGGCCCAAAATGGTATCATTCGCGACCTCCTCAAATGAATAATATATTGCAGTGCATCCCAGCACCGAGAGGCATATAAAAGTGAAAATGAAAATGGGGATACAAACCTTAACTACCCCAACGGCACATTTTGCAAAGGGCGGGCAGCACCCTTTTCCCGAGTTTTAATAAATGCTCATAAATCAAACACCCCTAGGAACTAGTGTCTGTAGTAGTTTCGGGAGGCTATAAGAAGTTAGTACGGTCCTCACTTACAAGGCGTCGCTGAGCAACGCTCACGCACAGGTAAAGGTCGGGGACAAACAGACTTTTGATCATTTGATAGATTATCTAACCAGATCCCTTTCTCCCTTCTACCCAAACCCTAACCGCATGAGAACAACGATGCATCCCTATCATAGCCCCCCCGTCGGAACCAAAGGAAGAAAAGGAAGAACAGAAAAACGAGGAGGGGAAATGGGTCTGCGGGTATCTCTGGTTTGACTCGAAATGTAAGGGGGGGCACCCGGTAGCGTTCCCAAAGGTCAGGGAGCCTCTCGAGGTGACGTGCGGTTACTGCGGGGAGGCGTAAACAGGACTAGACCAGAAGTCCGTTCATGGTAGCGATATCCCAGTATCATACAATCGTCTCTAGCTCTGACCGCAAGCCCCACAGGGCGGAAAATGTGGATTTCGAGAATAGGTTTAGGACTGTAGGTGATGGCTTGGGATGGAGGGGGAAGATGCAGCCCCGGGTCAAGGGGATTACGAGTGACATTTCATAATTACGCCATCCCTCAATATCTGATTTCACAAACACACCTTCTGTACAGGAGGAAACTTTCGGTTTTTAATTGCGGTCTCAATAACGGCCCTATCGGGCTCATTCCATAATACAGGGAAGCAGTACTAGGGCAGCGATCATATCCTGGGCTCTATGGGTTATGAAGTATCCGTTGGGAAGAGGGAAGGTGTGGTAAGCCCAAGTTAAACCTGCTTACAACCAGAACGCACATTCCGAGTCACGGGTGAATAAAATAATGCGCTACGGTGAGATATCGATTTTATAAACAGTATCATATCACCACTCCATCACCACCACACCTTCGTAACTGTTCCGCCCATGGACCGGATAGCGCCCCCCGCCCCCTCCCAAACACCCACCTGGCTGGCCCATGCAGGGGTACCCTGAACCCAATCTCTAAATACCTAACATATCCTGCGGAAGTCCACGATACCAGGCGAAACACTTCTCCTGAGATGCTTTCTGGAACTAGAGGGGTAAATCATGAGTGTCCTAAGCCCTACACCCCAACGAAGGATGATGATTCGAAGAGTTACTATATCCTATCACAGGCCATGATTCGGGGGGTTCCAACTTCTCTTGTACTAGTACAGCAGTAGTGTCCCCGCAGTAGTAGGATGGATGAATAGATGGATTGGTTAGGTATAGTTGTAGCTTACTTCAGTCACGATAATTCCCTCCATGGGCCTCGTCGGCAGCCACTTAGGTGCGATATTCGGAGGTCTCTGATATCTATCACTTATACCTCATGCAAGTCACTTCTATCATCCCCACTTCACGCCCAGCCCATCACCACCACTAAACCGCGCCACAGTATAGTACAGAGTACATTCCATCACCAGATTAGAATTATAAACTAACTTAGATAACATCATCATCATCGTTTCCCTTCCCTCTTTCCTTCCCTCCCTCTTCCCTCCATCCATCGCCATTTCCATTTTCTCTATTCCACAATCAAACCAACACCTCGTATATTCATCATTCATCAATCACTTAATAGGGGCTATTCCACAGTGAAGACCTAGCCGGGGAATACCCACTAGGAGAGTAACCCCCCGGAGAAATTAATAGGCTGTTGGTCTGCCCTGGTCTCTTTATACCACACACATCAGCATCTATCGAGTCATGGTAAAATAGTGGAAAGACGTACAGCACGAAAACTCCCAATCATACTACTAAGGCTTGGGACGCCGCCACTGGGTCCTACTTGACCTCTATATCCCCACTCGTCGCCGGGAGGGCCGCCCTGGTGGGATTGCTGCTCAAGGCCCGGGTCATTAGGCCATTGTTGCTGCGGCTGTTGAACCATCGGGGGTGGGGGTGGGGGTGGTTGTACTCCGACCCCGGCTAAACTTAACCGGCCGCCCTCTGCTGAAACAGTGTTGAGGAAGTTTTGAAGTTTCCGAAGCGCCTCCATCATTTCGCCCATACCCTTCTCGCCGATTTCGACTTGCTCCTCGCGGATGCGTTTCAAAGCCGCCGGGAGACGAATAGCAAGCCCCTGAGAGCAGGCTGCCGCAGAGGCCGCAGGTGCGGTAACGCCGTTGTTGCGAGCATGGTCTTCGGCGACTTGTAGTGCAGTCGTAGCCTCGCAAACACGAATTTGTGGCGCATTTTGAAAGTCCATTGCGAGTTTTATTAAACCAACTATTTCGCCGAGGGTCTGGATTGAATCCGCCATCATCTGAATAACTTCCTTAGGGATTGTATAGGAGGAAGAGGTAGGTGAAGAAGACTCCGAGCCGGGGTGCTGAGAGTTCGGTTGTGAATGGATCGCACCAGGACCAGGGTTACTATCGAAGAAGCGGCGGAATAGTTGTGGAAGAACGCCGGGAGCTAAAAATGTTAGCTTTGTAAACCACTCCAAATATGGCAAAAAGATGCTTACGGAATTGGAATATAACAGCGTAAATTGCCTCAACGACATCCTTGAACCTATTCCTCAAGCCCCCAACGAGCTCCGAAACTACCCGCTCAACAGCCTTGGCATGCTCCTTCGCCCTCTTGACGCCCTCCAACTTGCCTCTGAGTTGTCTCTCCTGCTCGTCAATCCAGAATCTCCTCTCCGCATCAGCAGCCCTCGCCGTTTCACCAACAGTCATGAGTGGTTGCACAGAAACCTGAAGGTAGCGGGCATTCCTGTCAGAAACGAGGCTTTGTAAAACGTGTTCGTGCTCTTCCATTGTGATATGCAACTTATTGAGAAGATCGATAGCCTCAAGCAAAAGATGATACTCCAAAGCGGTGCCACCGGACCCAGTGCCAACAGCAGTGCTCCCGCCATCACTATTTCGTCCCCCAGAAGAAGCAGCCGTAGAAGCATTGAACAGCCACACCTTAACCTCTTCATACCATTTTCCGCCCAACACCTCTAATTGTCCCTTGACATCCTTGTAGGCAACCTCGACATACTCATTCTCAAACATGAGATAGATCTCCTTATCCACCTCCATCTTTTTTCGATTCTCCTCCTGCTCGAACTCATCCCTCATCCGCTCAATATCAGCGAACGTAAATCTGCCAGTGTTGTAAACTGCAGCGGTTTGGGCTTGATTGCGATGACGCCGAGTATGGCTTTCGTTGTTGAACACAGTAAGACGATTAGAGGTCATAGTCTCCAACGAACGTCGAGCTTCAGAAAGATAGGTATCCAAAGAAGGGGAATTAACCGCTGTGTCCAAGGCCGCGTAGGCCATGTGTAAAAACGGTGGGATATCAGCGGTGCTCGGGGGAGGGTCTCCACCGCTGGGGCTAGGTCCACCATTAGCAGCAGAGTTCCCACGATTAAAAGAAGAGATGATAGCGACGAGTCCCTTAGTGTCGATCGGCCTGATTTCCTGGGGTCCATAATTTCCGCCGCTGCCAACCTTGGGGAATGTGAAAGGGAATGGAGTATTCCCAGCATTACCGACAGTATCTTCCTGACCACCGCGACTATGCGCCTCTGAAGCAACAGTAGAATTATCATCATCGAACCTTCTTCTAGCAGATGGATCAATCCGGATGGCAGGAACACTAGGCACAGGACGAGGCATCTGAAGTTCCAAATCAACCTTAGGAGCATTGGCAACCTGGTCGATGGTAGGTGTAGGCGATGGTGTCTGTTGCGGTGGCATAGGAGCATCTGGGGGAACGTCCTTTCGCTCGGACATCTCACGGTACTGATCACTATGGCGATGTTGATGCTGGCGCTGGTGATGACGGTGTCCGCCAAACGCATCCATCCCGGCAGACTTCAGATCAAGGTTTTCAATCTCGGGCAACCTAGGCGGTGGTGGCAGAGGCTGCAGGCCCTCATACCCAAGACCTTCGCCATCGTCTTCATCCGTCTCGGTATCAAAAGGATTTTCCTCCCCACCCAACCCCAATCTTTGTCTTTCACGCCCCTCCTCTTTCCCTTTGGATAGCAGCCCAACAGGTCTCGTCCTCTCGGCTCCTTCCATCTTCACCCACTCCTTCCACCTTCTCAATCTCTGCTCACGCAAGACACCAACCTCCTCATCAACAGCACGCCAACCACTCTCAGAGGGGGTATTCGAAGCGCTGATCCTCAGCTTCTCCGCTTTATCCGCAACTAATGCATCCTCACTTAGGTAGAAAGCAAAATTGAGCAATGAATGAACATGTGTAGATGGTAACGAAGGCAGAATCTCAGAGAAAGAGTTAAACAAGTGATCCTCTGTTGAGTTAGATCTAGGAGGAAACTTCACGCGCGCCCCGAGTGCAGGGATCTCCGGTGTTGATGACTCGCTAGGGTTAGTGCCCTCATCATCATTCTGCTCATCCATGAGTTCGGGAGGAGACCTAATCTGTACGCGGCGTTGGGCTTGAGGCTGCGCTGTCACAAGAGGTTTCTGTAAATTTTGCGTAAAGGCTTTGTAGGCGCCGGAGTCTCCATAATCTGGTAAAGGACCAGGTTGCTGCTGCTGCTGCTGCATATTAGGTGGCTGTTGCTGCTCAAGCGGCTGCTGGTGTTGGTGCTGATGCTGAGGTATAAGCGTTGGGGGCATCGGGGGAGATTGTTGCTGTTGAATGCGTTGCGGAGACTGCTGCTGATGCGAAGGCGGAACACCTCCAAGTTGTGTCCTTTGCTGCAAACTGTCAAATCCTCCAGCAACGAAATCACCACGCTGCGGCATTTGAGAGATTTGTTGCGGGGGCGGCGCGTGTTGCGGCGATCTCTCATCCATGTTGACCTTCCTTTGTTCTTGCTGTGGTTGTTGCTGCTGTTGTTGTTGCTGCTGCTGAACAGGCCTAGCTACAGCCGCAGTCACATCCGCCCAGTGACCCCTCATGACGCTCTCGCGGGTACTTCCACCAATACCACCACTCGAACCCGGTGAAGTCGCACTCCCAGGGCTACCACTAGCTAATGGAGAAGTGACATAATGGCCATGATTCGCCCCAGGAAACCTCAAATTCGTAGTCCCAGGGTTATTCCCAGTCGGCGGAGGAACAGGTTTAGTGTAAAGATAAGTGCCCAAGCCAACCTCCGCCGGGCTCCTCTGCTGGGTAACGACACCACCGGTAGGCAGAGATCGAACGAAACCGGGCTTTTCGGGGGACTTTTGCGAATCCTGCAAGTTCTGGGTATTCTGCGCCATCTGTGGTTGTTGCGGCTGTTGGAGTTGCTGTGCCATTCCGTTACCAATAGGCTGCTGGGAAGGTATACCAGATGGTGACTGGAACCTCAGCCCGAGGCCCTTCTTAACGCTATTACTCACTTCCTCATTTTCATCCTTCTCCTCGCCAACATCTTCATCGATCCTCTTCTGCGGCCTATACTCGGTCGGAATAGGGTCATCCTCCTCAGCACTTCCAGGTCTCTCCGTCTTCCCCAGGCTACTACTACTACTGCTATTGACCCTCCTTCGCAAAGGCGGGGGACCGCGACTACTCTCATCAGAACCCTTCTTTCCTCTGTGGGTCCTAAGAAAGCCAGTCGGTGTCCCACTGTCACCATCGTCGCGCAGTTTCTTCCCCATGAGCCCTATGTTGATAATCCCACGGTACCCACCTGACCGAAGATAAGGCGGAGCACCAGGGCTACCAAATTCGCTATTAGGAGTATCCGGGGGAGGACAAGACGGTGCAGGCGGAGGAGCAGGCCCATCAGGAAGTGGGGTAAGCAGGGGCTGCGGACGGTAGTGCTCGCGGCGATGCTGAGCATGTGTATCTATCGGTGGAAGTTCTGGGTTCTTTCGGGGCTCACGATCCCATTCTCTTTCTCGCTCCCTCTCCCGCTCTCCATCCATATCCCACCCTCGCTCGCCGCCCCGCATCTCCGATTCACGATCCCTGTTGCGATCGCGAGAGTGATCACGGTCGTCACGAGGTACTTCGGGGACTTCGAGTGGTGACTGTTGTTGCTGCTGCTGGTGAGACGCTTGTGGTGGAGAACAAGGATTAATACGATTAGGTCGCGCGGAATTTGTGTTTGAACCATGTGGAGAATTCGAATAACTCAACGGCGTATTCTGATTATGGGGACTACTAGTTTGATTGCTATACCCACCGTGGCTATTTTGGCTCTGCAAGGGACTAATATTCTGGGGCATCTGTCCTTGTCCGAAAGAAACCCTCCTTTCCTGTGGACTCCCACCCTGTGAGCCAAACTGCTGGTTAGGCGGTGAGGTCTGATGGCTAGAAGTTGGAGAAGAAACCCCCAACCCGCTGGAATTGGCTGGTGGTGGCTTGTATATTTCGCCGGTCCGGAAGCTTAGCGGGCTCGTAGCTTTACCAGTCTGTACCGGCTGTGACGGTAAAGGCGGAGGGCCATATCCAGTCGTCCCCCGAGGTGACGTTGATGCAGTGAGGACCTGACGCTGCAAGTGCTGCTGATAATTGAACACAGTTCCCTGATAAGGTGGTGAAGCCGGCTGCTGCTGAGAGTGATGTGAGTAAGGCAGTTGTTCTCTTTCTCTCTCCCGCTCTCGCTCTCTCTCTCGCTCCCGTTCCCGTTCCCGGCTCCCGTTATCATCATACGATGGGGAATTATAATTCCCAGTCTGATGTGACATGTGCGACTGATGCGACACGTGAGATTGTTGCGACGGTGGCTGGCTCGGGGGAGTAGGCCTTTGAATAACTCCAGCGTCATACCCTACATGCTGCTGCTGTTGCTGCAGCTGATGGCGATCATACTCCTGCGAAGGGTGAGTTCCAAGCACCGGCGGACGCCCCAGACTTGACGTGCTCGCATTCACGGTATTATAATCAGACCGCCGTGATTCGACAACCGAACCTTCTTGTAGCGACCGCATCGACTCTGACTGCGTCATTGGCTGACCAGATCCCGGCGGAGGCGGTGGGACAGGATCCATTGCGCGATCGAGCCAGCTAGCCGTGAAAGATAAAGTAGGCTCGCCCTTTGATGGTGGAGTAGTATGTTGAGCCGGCTGTGCTTCTCGATGATTTGAATACAGTGGTTGTGAAGAATTCGATGCATTAGATAACGGAGGGCGAGGGTATGGTTGATTGAAAGCCGGCGTCTGGTTGGGGGCTGCAGCGGGGGAGGTAGACTGTGGCAGCCGAAATCCTGGGAGAGGATCGTCGTGGTACGAGGACGGAGTGGATTGTGCCTGCGAGAAATGTGCTACCGGGGGCTGCTTTTGAACTGGAACCGGCTTTGAAAAGTTGTGGATCGGGGAGGATCCTTGCTGCATCCGGGGGTCATTGCTATTGACACTACCAAACGACGACGTCCTGTGTCCACCAGTCGGATGTGAATAGGGATTCACCAGAGATGATTGTGATTGCGATTGGGGCTGATTCGAAGGGGGTAAGGCAGCCTTTGAGAAGTGGTGCTGCTCCGGCGATGAATGGTCTTTTCCCGGACGAACCTGAGCGAAGCGAGAAGTCGGGGATGTCTGCAGTAGTGGCTGCTGTTGCGGCGACGGCTGAGCCGGGTTCACATGGCTCGGCTTGGTGTACTGCTTTACGGGGGATGAAGAAGCACTATGATGATCACCTTGACGATGTTGAGGCTCAAGATCGAATGCAGGACCGAGAGTATTGGAAGGGTTATTGAAATGCTGCAAAGGCGAATCCCCACCTCCCCCATCACCACCTCCCCCTCCTCCACTAATACCACCATTACCACTATGCCCCCCAACCCCATTCCCATTCCCCGCTCCATTCCCACTACTATTCCTTGGCTCCCGATCCTCGGAATAATCTACGAGCAGATCGGTCTGATTATCAAACACATCAGCGTACCCTCCACCTCCATTGGCATTATTAACGCCCTGCTGCTGCTGCCCACCAGTCTGGGAACGATGTTCAACCCCGGACCTCGCGTTGTCATCACGTTTAGGAGACTCGGGACGATCCCGCGACGGTGGAGGTGGCTGAGAATGCATCGCGAACCCCGAACTAAAGTCCAGATAGGGGTGCTGTTGCGACGGTTGCAGCTGTTGCTGCTGTTGCTCCATCTCGTGTACTACAAAATCAACGCAAGTCAATTGCTATTTCCAAACAAGCGGGGAGACAGAGACTAATCAATCAATGGCACTCACGCGTTTGTAGACTTGTCTTCCCAACTTTTCCGTTTCTCCTTCGCTCTCTTCAAACCTTCCGTGTCTTCTTCGTTTCGTTTCGTTTAAATCTCCTCCTCGGACTTTAACTCCCTCAGCAACAAATAAAAAAAATAAGGTCCCCCTTTTCTTTCGCTTTCCGTATAATTTTTTTTTCCTTTCCTTCCTTTCTATCTCTCCCCTAGGAAAAAAAAGGGGGGGGGAAGATGCAGAAAAGAAAAGAGGGGAAAAAAGGACAAACGACAAAAAATAAACTAAATTATTCCCTTATCGTCTATACCTAGTGACGTTGCGAGTCTATCAGCAACAACGACTAAAAGAAGAAAAGAGAGAACAAAGGGGTGGATAAGGGTGGGTTTCCCTAGCAAGGCTCTAAGGGAACGGATGGGATAGAGATGGAGATTATGACGATGACAATAATGATGACAAACAGGTAGACAGCCAAACGGGAGATTATGGGAGGTGGCGTGAAAGGTAAGATCGAAGAGGGGCAAAAGATTGGAAATACGAAACACAATGGATACGGGAAAAGAAAAAAAATAGACTACCCACGATCTTCGTTAACGTTACTCTCAGCCGGAACGGCAGGGAGGGGGTGGACGCAGCAGTTCAAACTTTGGTGGGGGGGAAGAACACGGTATAGTAAGAGGGAGTGAGGAAAGAAAGGGTAAAAAAGAGAGAGAAAGGGTCCACTGAGGGAATTGCAGTTTGATTGATCGACTGACCGATGCAAAGCAAGCAAGCAACTGGCTGCTTGTTGTTGCAGGCAGGCAGGGAGAGTAGGCCTGATGTCGACGTGCGATGGAGATGAAAGTAGGTAGGAAGGTTAGGTAACAGTAGAGGCAACCGGTAGAAGGGTCCCCCTTGGTGGTTAGACAAAAACTGTGTGGGGGGAGGAGGAGGGAGAGAAACGAGGTAAGGGAGAGAGAGAAAGGTTCGTGCAGGGCAAAGCGGCAACCAAGTACCGCAGTCTCACTCTCACCACCTCTCACTTGCTTTGATCCAACGATACAAGGAGGACGGATAGATCAAGGAGAGAAGGAAGGAAAGGAAAGGGAATCCCCGATGGTAAAGTCTCCCTCGTATTGGTCCTTCTTTCTCACTCTGTCCGCACCTTATTTCTCTCTCACCACCTCTCGGCTCTGTTAGTAACAGGCCACACGCTAGCTGCGAAACCAGACGCAAGAGAGAGATGCCAGTGCTGTATCCTCCAGTCCAATCCTACAACACGATCACCACCACCAACTGCCACAAGTAAGAAAAGGGAAGAAAAAAAAAAGAATAAAGAATAAAGGGGGGGGGAGTGTCGGCATACGAGTAATGAATAGAAAAATTAATTTTCCCTCTTTTTTTTTTCCCTTAAAAAAAAAGCGGTTTCATTCACCAGAATTCAAAAGAGCGGCTCCCCTCGTCCATCCAACCAAATCACCTTGAATTGGTGTGGGTGGGATGAGTTGTCACCCGCGAAAGGAAAAGTGACAGGCGGAGCTAAACTGCCATTGGCTCCTCTATATGCATCGTCCCTGGTCAAGCGCTTGCTTGCTTCATCCATTGCATTGACCTGCTCTGCTCCCTTCTTCCCTTCGAGTCCCAGTTCGGAGTGCATTCCCAAAAATGCCTCTAACGGCTGAGAAACATTCGTTCCGGGAGGTCTCTCCTCCTTTCTCTTAACTACGCTGAAGCACCGTCATAATATCATCTTGAGCATCGTGTGTATGATATGAGGGGTGGTGGTGATGCTATTCGCAGCCTCTCGCTTGTGGCACAAGCTTTGGTCCGACGGTTCGCCATCTAAAATGCTTAGCTCTAGCTTTGATACTAAGTACTACTCGTACATAGTCTACCGATGTCTTTCCCGAAAAAAAAACCTAACCCTGATGCCGGTTGTGGCTGAAGGTTCGGGTGAGCCCTAATTTACTCGTACTAGTACGCGTACGAGTACCTAAGTACAGGCTGCCGGCACCGTTGGGGGCTCACCTCACAGAAAAACCGAGCAGACATCGTGTCATAAATACAAAACTCCACGATCTCACCCTCAACTCTCGAACAAAAGAGCCTCCACCACTCAGCCCAATCCTCACAATCCCAGATTACTTCCTCTAGTACCAAACGATGCCACACACCGGTAACCCATTCATCTCAGTATCTCAACACTCCCAAGTCCCCAAATCCCAAAAAATCACCACAATGTCCACAACCACAGTCTTGGCATCCCTGCGTCTATCGTACAGGTACCGTACAAGTACAGTATTCCAAAGCACGGTGCTCCGCTCCGTGCAACAATGTAGCCATGTCGAACCAACCAGACCCGTTCGCCTAGTATAATACGGTACCGTACCTACGAGTAGGTATAGAGTGACTCAAACTCGGGAACTAACACGACTTGCATAGAACGCGATTGAGTACCGCTACAGGTAGGGACGGTACTGACAAGATCGAGCCCAACACCACCGCATACGGGATTCGAGCGTTTTGCTTCACGACTTTAGAACGCTGTGCGCGATGCGAACTCTGGTTGAGAACCGGTATACCGTACTAGTACTGTGTGAGAGACTTTAGCTTGTGCACACAGCTCCAAATTGAAATTGACTTAAATCACGACATTACACTATCGTACCAGCACTACAATACCGGTACCGGTACGCCATCCTCGCGATACCGTGCAATAACTGGTCGGATGCCTCATGGCGCCAGAGAGTGCGGTAATTCAATTTGTGTAT